TTTTTCTGTAATTAATGGGGTTTATAATCATGGGTGTTTCTTTACTTTCAATACAATTGAAGTTGCTTTTTTGTACATTTCTTTAGGTTTGATTACTATTTACTACTAATATTAATTCGAATTAATCTTACTGGAATGATTTGTTTATTGGCGTGCCTGTGGGATTTTCCAGGCTATCACGGAAGGTGGAATTTGACTTTGAAGCCAGAAAAAAGGTTCTGTTTTTGGGGGAAAGGTTGAAAGGGGTTTAGTTGTGAATCCAGGCTTTCTATGTTGATGGATTGAGATAGGATCTTTTGTTTGTGGGTGGGATTGGTGGGTTTTAACAGATGTTTTGTTCTCTTGGAGATGAGATGAGATGAGATTTGGGTGAGGCAGGGTGTTGCTTTTTATGGTTTTCCATGGGTTTGATTAGTTCCTTGATTTTAATGACACCGGAATTTGACCATTAGGGAGTTTATTGTTGATGGTTTTGGAAGAAATTTCGTTTCTCGAGCTCTGTAAGTATTGTTTGGGAAGCACCCTTTAGATTTTGAGCCGCCTTCTTCTCAGCTGAAGGTGAAGGATAATAAGGAAGATAAGGTCTTTTAGGACTTCAAGTATTTGAGTTCTAATCACAGGGGTAGAAAAATGGAAGAACAGGCATATTCTTGGATTAGGAGAACAAGTTTTTCTCAAACGGTTTGTCATAGATTGGATACAACAAGATTGGCTTCTTTTCCAATCATTATTCAACCAGATAGGAATCCAGGATTAAAATCAAGGCCTGTAGCAGCTTCTTCAAATAAAGCAGCTTCTTCAAATAAAAAGTCAAATCGCAGTAACTTGGAGATTCAGCGGAATCCCATTACAAACAAGCAAAGAGCTGCATCTCCTCTGCCTCAGACACCAATCCCTGATGTTTTCAAGGAAGCAAGGTCGGAGAGGAAGAGATTCTCCACTCCACATCCTCGGAAGAAGGAGTCAGATAAGGGGTTCATGGGAAAGCTGTTCTATAAAGAATCCCGGGAGGCTAAGGCATCCAATTCGTTTGCAACAAATACAAGTCCTCTTAGGCACTTGGGAACGATGAAAGTTCAAGAGAGAATGAAGAGTAGGAAAGAATCTGCTTGGGCTAAGTATTTTGACCATGGTGGAGGAAGGGTCACTTCTGTTGAAGGAGCTGATGAGCATACTGTGGATCTCTCCAAGCTGTTTCTTGGGCTCAGATTTGCTCATGGAGCACATAGCCGGCTTTACCATGGGATATATAAAGATGAGCCTGTTGCAGTTAAAATTATCACCATACCTGATGATGAGGAAAATGGAAACTTTGCAGCTCGATTAGAGAAACAATTCAACCGAGAAGTTACTCTTTTATCTAGACTCCGCCATCAAAATGTCATAAAGGTGATTATGTTTTTTCTTATCTCCGTTTTCTTCTATAGTTCTTTCGTGTGATTATGCATCCTCCTTAGTGAAATTACAAACTTTAGCTTATTCATATATCATTCAGTTGATGACTAAACAATAGTTGTAAATTTATAATTGCTACACGTTGGTCCTAACTCTTGAACCATGTCTGAAATCATTGTTGTGTTAGTAATTCTTAGTGCCATTTATTGCATCATTTCTGAGTTTATACTTTGATCTCATATCCAGTTTGTAGCTGCATGCAAAAAGCCACCAGTTTATTGTGTCATTACAGAGTATCTATCAGAGGGTTCTTTAAGGGCATACTTGCACAAGCTTGATCATAAGGCACTTCCCTTGCAAAAATTAATTGCAATTGCTTTGGATATTGCTCGGGGAATGAGCTACATCCACTCTGAAGGAGTGATTCATCGAGATCTTAAACCAGAAAATATCCTCATTGATGAGAACTTCCAATTGAAAATTGCTGATTTTGGTATAGCTTGTGAGGAGGCATATTGTGACCTGTTGACAGACGATCCAGGAACTTATCGTTGGATGGCACCTGAGATGATCAAAAAGAAATCCTATGGACGGAAGGTTGATGTTTACAGTTTTGGACTGATCTTGTGGGAGATGGTGTCTGGAACAATCCCATATGATGACATGAATCCCATCCAGGCTGCTTTTGCAGTGGTCAATAAGGTATGCTCTTGATTTCCTTTCCCTTGTCCAGAAAAGGTTCATATCTTTAACTTTTCTTAATTGTATGTGCTATGGACCTTCTTCAAGTTATTTGTTGCTCAAAATTGTCAAGCCATAATGAAGGCAAACGTTCCCATCTCCATCCTGGTTTGTTAACATGATCTTCTTTTTTTTCTTTTTTAAGGAAAAAAATAATAATAATCCCCTTCAATTTATTATCCACTGAAGATCAATATTCATTCACCCTAGATGTGGCATAAAGCTGCACTCATAATAATTTGCATTAGCCATTTAGCGTGCTGATATGCTGGGTTGTTTGATATGCATGATAGGAGAATCGTATGAAGCCATCAAGTTACTGATGCTAAGCAGTTGGCTTTAGTACCTGTATAACATGTGATAATTAGTTAGTATTCATAAGTTACTTTAATTAGCATGCGGAAACACTGATTTTATTGATAAATTAGATCATAGGTGCAATGAACCAGACTCACCTTTGATGCCAGTTTGATCTGAAAATATCTGCTCAGAAACGACAAAAGGCCATTTAGTTTGCTGTAACTATCATATTTCTCCATTGGAGTAGGTTTGAAGAATTGTCCGGGTATCTTTTGAAAGTAAGGCATGATTGCTGATATCAGGATTGAACTTTTATTTTTCTTGGACAGCCAGGGATTTATTGTTGCATTGACTTTTGTTTTAAATTTTTATTTTTATCATTGTTCAACGCATTCATCTCTATCAATAAAAGCTTTTATGTTTCTGATTTTGACCTTAAAGCTTTTTTCCTTTAGAATCTGAGACCTGCTATGCCAAGGGATTGTTCACCTCCCTTACGAGCTTTAATTGAGCAATGTTGGTCCTTGCAACCAGACAAGAGGCCAGAATTTTCACAGATTGTGAATGTATTGGAGCAATTTGAGTCCTCACTCAATCACAATGGAACCCTGAATCAAGTACAGAACCTAATATGCCAAGATAATAAGAAAGGATTCCTTCACTGGATTCAGAAGCTCAGTCCTTTGCACCCTAATAGCAATAGTCAAAACATGCCTAAACCTAAATTCACATGAATCTTCTTTGTGACCTGGCTTTTGTAGTGTCACCAGGTCGTTGTAATTAAAAAGGTTTGTTTTCTAAATCTCTTTATTTGTACTCCATGTCACATTTTCATGTGATGGTATATGAAATATATTGGTAGGCATGCATCAAGTTGAAAAATGTCATTTCTTTTACATCATCCACTAGAAATGATCCCAAATATAAGGTTATCCACTACCCAGGATGTTAATTATCTTGGCTGAAAAGAAAAGAGAGAAAGAAAGCCATTTTCTTCTCAAAATCTGTGTTGTTTTAGCACAAAATATTTTGTTCATCATCACCATTCACGACTTGCCTGAATGTTTGTGGAAGTTGTCGATTCAGTTTCATTCTACATGTGAATGCAATATCTAGATTACATCTTCGCTATCATGACATGTTCATACATGATACATGTATTGGTTCAATGTATAAACTCATGGTTCCACATGGTCTACTTTATATAGCTTCTGGTATTCTTGTTGATTATGTTAAATTGTGAATGCAAGGAATCGCACATGGAAGAGAAAGGGAAAATGGATGCTGGCATCAAATAATGATGATGGAATATCTAAGATCATTAGACACTGCCCTCTCATATTTTAGTCATCTCATTAAAAAAAAAAAAACCATTTAATTTTGATTGAAAATATTATAATTATAATATCACATGATATTATAAGTTTACAATATGATGTGTAATTATATAATTAATTTTTTTTCAATTAAGTTTTTATCTATGATATTATATACATGTAAGATTTATTTAATATCGTGTCATACCTATTTAATGTCTTATCATAATTGTAAATTTATGTGACATTGTAATTTTTTGCTATGCTAAATGTTGATAGTATAAATATCCTTGGATTTTATTGGCTAGGCTGCAGCATTTGGATTAGATTGCAGTTTATGTTACCCACTGATGTTGCCCTTTTGTTTTTTTAAATTGCAACTTGCAGGTTTATTTCCATTATTTTTAGCCTTTCAACAATTAAGACCATATATTATATATATATTTGCTAAATCCATATCAGATTCAATGTAGCAAACGTGATCACAAAATTGTAGTTGGAGGGTTATCTCTATCAATCAATTGTCACAAATTTGACTATTACTTGTTGATTGATGGGCTTATGCGATTTTTATTGGTATACTCTTGTTTTTTCCATTTGTCAAATTCAAAGGAAAACGATTGATGTGGCTCAAAATGTTTTCATGGGCCTAGACCTTTTTTTTTACTCCATGTGGGTCTTGAACCCATTTTTATTTTTTTACTGGGCTTTAAGCCTGAAGTTGTGAAATGGAAGAGGTGAAAGGTCATTTTATGTGTGAGAAGGCAATGGGATTGAGACCTAAATCAGAGGTGTCTGGACATGAAAAATATTTCAACTTTCAACACAAGGCCCACTATAAACTAAGTGACTTAGCTAGCTGTAACCGTCCTTTTCAGCCTGAAAGCAAAATGTGATTGGGACAACTTGTACATGATGCAGCTGGTAAAAGTTAAGCAATAGAAAAAAAAGAAAAAAAAAGAGTTATTTTTTATTGTATAATTTAAAATTAAAATTAAAACAATTTCAATCATTTCTTAGATGGGTTATAGAAAATTAAGATATTTTAATAATTAAAATATTAAAAAT